CAAGCGCGTACTAGCCAGGTAAACAGTCGATATCTATTCCCGTGAGTATTGATGTGTGTGTATGTGACCGAAGCCCGTTCCACGATCGTCCCTCGCACTTCAACGGGAGGTAGAGAAGTCGGTGTTACATGGTAATCATCCAGAGATCGCTGGGAGGCTTGTCAGCACCGGTGAGGTCAATGCGACAGCTTGAAATAATCCGAGGACATCTTGATATGATATTGGGACAACTTGGCTTGCAAAAGGTATAGTAAGTAGTTCTAGTGAAGTTGCAGCTGTGAATGGAGAAAAGCGATTGGTTTTGGGGGCCAAAATCCGAAACCCAAACTTTAAAGTTGATTGAAGAACGAATTACTCTACGAAAACATTCATTTGTTTTGAACAAGAACTTTTCACAATTCAGAAAATGTATGTACAGCGGTATTGCTTTACTTCCGTTATTCACAAACACAACCCTTAACCCAGTATTTTTTTCTTTGCCCTAAGCATGAATACTGGCTGTTTATCTGCGATTTACCTCAATTATAAGAATTTAATGTTTATCATGAATAGACCGTTATTTGAAGGTGGTCTAAATTGCATACTTGCAACCTGCCAACCTATCACTATTCGATTCAGTTTTGTTTCTATAGACACAATCGGATTTTTATTCTTTAAAGTAGGTAAGATAATGGGAAGCGACAATTTATTTCCGAATCACATAGAACTTGAAAAATGTATAGTTTTTGGAACAGTAAACTGGTAACCAAGGTATATTTGTGTGTGTTCAGACCGATTAGGAGTAATTGAATAATATTAAAGTAAAAGTAAACGGCAAAACCTCATGTAAATTTTCTTTTTTTATGAACCGTGAAACAAATGGCATATTATTCGTTATTTCTTTGAACTACCATCTTTTTGCTCTANTGCTCTATGTGTTTGGTGATACCAATCGATTTTGGAACATGAAGAGACTCTGATCATCTTGCAAAACTTTGAAACTGATTGATAAATTCATCAAACAGTGCACAATAGAGACCTGTTGGACTGGTTATATGCTTTTCAGTGGAATCACACATGGACGTGGACGATGTGGCTTCAATTTTTGGTCCTATTCGGACACTGCAATCACAGTTTACTCTGGGGTATTGTGAGAGACGAATCATCAAAATGGGGCAAACAAAATGACGCACGTAAACAAACAGAGACACAAGCATATCACTGTCCAGGACGACTGACAGTCTGACCACAGATGTGTGATTTGGGGTGGCATCAACGGCCAGCGTAAACTACCTATTTTCCGGCAAATTTTGAACGTGGAATATTCTTTTAGCCTTGTATGAGTTTGTGTGTGTGTGTGTGTGTGTGTGTGTGTGTGTGATACATCAGCAACTTATAACTGCATACTGTTCGCCGGCAATGCATCGAGCAAATTCCGTTGCAGGAATTGAAAATGAATTCCCATATAGGGATTACCCTTTCCACAAACAAACTCACCAGATAGAAATCACACGGACGGGTTACCCGGGTCACAGATTTGTGAAATGTGGTTTAATCGAGTTTCGATTGTTTGAGTGATATATGATCAGTGTGTCTGTAACGGGATACCCCCAACAAATTCGTAAATCGACTGTCATGACAGAAAGATTCGGCAAACTGACTTTATCGTAAGATACACATTTCAAACGCATCCAAGTATTACTTTGGATTGAGTTACATTGCAGTCGGTGGTGGTGGTGGTGGTGGTGGTGGTGGTGATAGTGATAATTTTATTCGGTCATTGGAATAAATTCATTTATTACGGATAGATTAGTCCGACACCAATAGTGGAAACAGGAAAACACATGGAAACATGCACAACCAGTTCACCGTGACACACGGTTTTCACCAATGAAAGCTGCTCGTCAAAGCTAGCTTAGCACTATTTTATGACCTTGGACTAATTGAAATGCTGGGTATGCCAGTGCACAAACGCCTTGGTGCAGACACACGTTCACACATACACACACACACACGGGTACACATTTTTGTGTATATAACATTCCCACAATCACGTTCTTATCGCTATCCGACTATTAGAGCCCTGGTCAAGGTCAACCAACACCTTGAACGTTCCAAATGTTCATTCTCTATTATTTCGTATTCCCGTTTTTCCTGTCCCAAATTACCATCGCCAAAAAATGTCATTTGTCTGCCGGGGGGGACCGATTGGATGTGAACAATCCGGAAACGTGGAAATGTTTTGCAGATGAAGAACTGCATCAATTTAAACACACATTCCCATATGATCAACTGTATGCCAAAATGGCTCGACCGAAGAATGGGATCCTTTTCATCGGAGACGGATTGAGTCTGAGCACGGTGACCGGAGCTCGCTACTTGAAAGCAACCAATCGAGGAAAAGAAGTTGGTGAAGAATTACTCAGCTGGGATACATGGCCCAGTGTTTCGTTGCTCAGAACCATGGATGCGGATCGAATGACAACCGATTCAGCCGCGGCAGCAACTGCCTTGTTCACCGGTAAGTGCACCAATATTTTTATTAATCATAATGCGAATGGGAAAGAGAACGAGTAGAATTCGATCATTGTCTGCCTGATTCTCACCCTTCTTGGAACAGACATTAATTTAAATGCGATGGAAATGTTTGTGATAACCAACAAAGAGCGCACTGGACAGCTGGTTCGTCCTGTTTAGGACTCATCAGCAGTGCGTACTTTTTGTGTCCCCGTGTCAGGACTCGAACCGTGATTCTTCGGGCTGGAACTGCAAACCCTTACCGTTGAGCTACACGTTCGACGGTTATCATCGTGTGCGAATGGCTCAATTAATTCAGATGGTGAATGTTTGAATTAGCCTATTAGGTTTTTCACAGGCAAGATGTCTGTGAACAACCGGGTGGGCTAATCCAAACATTCACCATCTAGAAGTTAATTCATTTCACTTTAAAATAAACCTAGATAGAATGCGATTGACTGCGAATGATTCAGTGCTTTTCCAGAGTGATGTACCCATTCATTACTATTATCCTAAAAAAAGCATTTTATCAGAGCGCTATGGACAATTTTCGGTGTTCAACGTCCAGTAGGCTGCATCGGTCCGAGACAGAAGGGATGTATCGCCAAAAGGGAATAAGGAAGTTAAGTCTAAATTAGTCATAGATTACTGAATCAATCAAGACATCAATGGATTCTGACACAGTCAAAGCACAAACGGTACATTACTTTGACATTCAGGCCCAGTTAGAGCATCAAAAAACCTTTCTCCGGGTCCCAAACATGACATTTTGCGCAAATCCCTCAAATGCCAGCTCATCAAAAGCCGGTTGTTGAGGAGCTCACCTATATACTGATTCGCGGGGTCTGGAACGAGGAGCAAACCAGGCCGAGGAACAGTTTATCTGGCCTCCATCGAACTGGGATCTGATAGCTTCCGCCAGTTGATATCAGTTCTCCATAAGAAAAAAGTATACAGCCTCTGGGCCTGTTACCCCTAAGCACCTTCGGGTTCGGCAGGGGGCTCAGTCTTAGTCCTGAAATTAATAAAATTTTTGTTCAGTATGGAAAAGGGAATACGTTCCAAATGGCTGTTGTGAATTGACGACAGTATTGAGTTATTTGAAAATCGAGAATCATTGTGTAAAAACCACAGAGGAATTAGTTTGATTAACATCTTCAAGTTTCACACTGGCAATATACTTTATCCTTCGTCCATCGCACGCAAATGTTACAACCTGAAGAATCAGGCCAGTTTTATACCTAGATGAGGATTAGCGGACCAGTTTGTGCTCACAAACATTCCATCCATCATTGTCCTATTTTTGAATCCGGAAGCGACCTTTGTCTCAGTCAACTGCACTTCACTGGGGAACAACCTTTCCATGAATGGATGTGCATTAGAAAGATATTATTAAATTACCCTCACACACCTTCCCCAACCACCACTCACAAGTAATTATGAGTTAAATGTAAATTACCAATCAAGCCTGTTAGGTACGTGACAAGTCAGCCCGTAATCTGCGTGGAAGTCCTGACTTCGTGGGAGTTTTTTCGATTGGAGTTAACAGGTTGTCATCTGTGTCTCCTTTGTTTACTGTCGGGCCAAATGAACTTACTGACAGTCACTGGAGAAAACACCTGAAAAACACGAATTGGCAATTTGTTTCAGCTATGGCATGAGCTGGTTGGCGCACACACGTTCCCTGCAATGGGTCCGGAGTTCAAATCCCAGATGATGGTACGGTGGATATGCACTACTGATGAGCTCTAATAAGAGCGAAACTCGAGTCTAGCGCTTCCGACACGTATGGTTGGATCGGAGAGCTGAGAATTGTGGTTGAAAGTGAAGTCCAAAGGATGGCCAATCAAATCAATTAAATTACTTTTTCATTAACCGAATCCCAGTTCAAACTTGCCACACTTTCATCTGACTTCATCGAGTATTCTACGCGGTTTCTCACTCTCTTCGACTCTCAACCTCATTACAATACAGAAATTCGACCAATTTTATTAATTTGTTCAACTAAATCTCAACATGGTGATCAGATCTCCAATTAATAAAGCTTCGACACGCACCCAGAAAGCGCATTTGGTGTTTGAAAACTGTACATATTCAATTCCATCCCAAGGTTCAGATACCAATGTCTCTCTGTGTCTCCCTGTATGACTTTTGTTTCAAGATCTTAAAACTAGAATGCACCAGCGAGGATTGTCCATTAGGATGAAGCAGCTGTCCATCGTCGGTGATCGAGTTTTGAAACTAATCCCAAATGGACAGCAAAGTTGCATCCTAATGTGGATACAGAAGTCGATCCTTAGTGAGGTACTCCGAACCCACCCACCCACTCACACACACACACACACACACCCGGGAAGAACAACAGTAACGCCAATCACAGTGCACAGATCTTGGTGTATTTGAACTGACGTTCAATTCCAATGAATGTTACAAACATTTCCTATTTCCTAGAGGTTTAAACGTAGACTATACTATACTGTAAATTTCCTATGTTTTCAATGCATCCTACGAACTGGCTAAGAAAAGAGCCAATAAGACTGCTCATATTGTTTCTGTCTAACCAAATTGTTTAGTTAACCCGGCAAATCGAACCAAACCACAATAACAAGCGATTGTGTCCACACGAGGATGAGTGCGGGAGGTACAATAAATGTGATTGGATGGAACGCACAGCACTGCTCAAATTGATTAAAAAAACGAAGTGAGACATCCGTTTGCACATGAAGAATAGATATTTGATGCAAGAATCTTAGTATGGTGAAAAACATTCATTACGTCATCAAATGGTTTATCATCTACGGTAAACCTTATTGTCAAAGTCGGTAGCTTCTTCTTGTTTTCACTTTGGCACCGTGTTTGGCTTCCAAGTGACACCTGTCCTCTCTCCAAATCTTCCAAATCCCAAAAACACACTTTGATACTTTTTGATTTTATCGTAATCTTTCATAAGGTTACATGTGGCGTTGGGCCACAACTTCCCCCAGATAGCTCCAAGCATTCAGTAATGTCGCGTTTCACTTCAGTGTTACTGTACGTTGGACGCCATGCTTCAGTCATAAGTTTGTCCAGAACCCCGGGTAGGATAATGATGACCTGAATGTCGCTATCTAGCTCTCTACGCATTCGAAGGCAAACATGAGGTATCTCAAATGTTGGATTGTAGCTGACAAGTAAAGAGGATATCAATGGGACTGAATGAAAAGCCGAAACAAGAACCTCTTTGAAAGTTTCCTCTGTGTTCTTTTCCGGTCAAACTGTGAAACTGGATGCATCATCGATCCTGTTAAATAAATATAACCATTAGACACTTTGACAAACCAGCAAAACACTTGAGCGTCACGCTTATAGTGAGTGAGTGCGGTTAAATACCACATTGAAGATTATCGCGTTTTTTTTATTCATCTAAACACGTTTGGGTTGTATAATAATAGTTAACATTTTCTTGTGGAGGTCAAAAACGAGCGAAATTAACAGTTTAACACTTTGTTTTGCGCTTTGCTAGAGCGATTACCCCATGGCTACCCTCCTACTAGTGGTTAAAGTAAAAATTTCCTTGATGAAGTAGTACCCGGAGAGACAACGTTGTGCATAGATAGATAGCTTCCGGTGTGATCGTTATTATTCGCTGATTATGACCACTAAGGAGAATAACAAGGTTCAAACGCTGCTTACCGATACATTGGCCCTGAATCAATAGCGAATTTCGGATAGGCAATTGATTTTCAAATTGCGTGTAGTGGAATTCAACTGTTTGTCACCTTTCTCATACTATTTTCTGATTTCACAATCCGTAAGGTGAACTTTACGTTTTACTTTTTTTGACAAAAATTTCAACGTGTAATGAGATCGATTCCCGTGGAGAATAGAATTTCGATACGTGGACTGCAGTCTTAGACACACGCACACACACACGTTGTCTACAATATCTGCCCCATTTACTCGCTGCAACTAACCCAATGTAACAATGTAACCTCCGTTTTGAAAGCTTTGAAGTACGTTTGTTGCAAATGATTGGCTGACCAAATTTGCTAAACTCTGAGGAATCAGATCAAAGCTCGGAATTCGGTTCCCCGATTGCACTTTTTGCCAGGTCAACATTCTGGGTTAGTGTAAAAAAATTTCTCTGTGTACATAGTTTCGTGTTTATCAACAAAACATTTCCTAGATTTATTTTCTGCCAAATTATTCGTATCGCATCGCATCACATTTATTAACGCAACTGGTCAGGTACGCTCACAGTTTCAACTGGGGAGAAAAACACCACAGTTGAATCAAATAAACAATAAAAATAGCTATAATTTCAATGAAAAAAATTGATAAAATTTTTGATACATCAAAATTCGCTAGGAATTCTTTCCGAACTTGATTCGTTGGGATAGGATAAGTTGCGATAAATAATACTAGAGTTCCAGTAGACCAATTTTCCACTTTACCAAATTTGACCAATCATATTTTTACCTACCCCTAAGTGTAGCTTAGGATGCATCAAAAATTACTGAACTCATTTGTTCACGCAACCGTTCCGCACAACCTTTAAATTTCCCGGTAAAATTGTTTGGTTTTTCTTCGAAACACTCTACTCCCTTTTATGGAACGAATAAACAAAATTTTTCTTTTCTATTTGTGTAACTTTTGCAAGCTGAGATATGCTTACATTTCGGTTAAAAATTCTACACTAGTCGTCACACCGGAGAAACTATAGAAGTATGGACAAATCCAATAGAGTGCTATGTAAAAAAATAAATCTTTCTGAAGTCTGATTTATTCAATTAAAGATTGACGTAATTCATTTATAACTCGTTCCTTGTTGGTCAAGATGCTAGCCGATACGGTACAGTGGAGTTTTTATAACTGTTTATTCGGGAGGCTAGGTATCGATAAGAGGAACGAATGATCGAGTGGGAGCGACAAAAAGATAAGTCCAGATGCAAAGAATGGGTGGGGTCGTTTAGAATCTTATTGGCAGAGGTAACATAAGACTCCATATGACCATTAATAAGTTCT